CTGTACCGGTGAGGTGTGGTGTTGGTACTAGTGAGGTGTGATGTCTGTATCGGTGAGGTGTGGTGTCTGTACTAGTGAGGTGTGGTGTCTGTACTAGTGAGGTGTGGTGTTGGTACTAGTGAGGTGTGGTGTTGGTACTAGTGAGTAGTGGTGTCTGTACTAGTGAGGTGTGGTGTCTGTACCGGTGAGGTGTGGTGTCTGTACCAGTGAGGTGTGATGTTGGTACTAGTGAGGTGTGATGTTGGTACTAGTGAGGTGTGGTGTCTGTACTAGGGAGGTGTGGTGTCTGTACTAGTGAGGTGTGGTGTCTGTACTAGTGAGGTGTGGTGTCTGTACTAGTGAGGTGTGGTGTCTGTACTAGTGAGGTGTGGTGTTGGTACTAGTGAGGTGTGGTGTGTGTACCGGTGAGGTGTGGTGTCTGTACCGGTGAGGTGAGGTGTGGTGTCTGTACTAGTGAGGTGTGGTGTCTGTACCGGTGTGGTGTCTGTACCGGTGAGGTGTGGTGTCTGTACTAGTGAGGTGTGGTGTCTGTACTAGTGAGGTGTGGTGTCTGTACCAGTGAGGTGTGGTGTCTGTAACGGTGACGTGTGGTGTTGATACTAGTGAGGTGTGGTGTCTGTACTAGTGAGGTGTGGTGTCTGTACTAGTGAGGTGTGGTGTCTGTACCGGTGAGGTGTGGTGTTGGTACCAGTGAGGTGTGGTGTCTGTACCGGTGTGGTGTCTGTACCGGTGAGGTGTGATGTCTGTACCGGTGAGGTGTGGTGTTGGTACTAGTGAGGTGTGGTGTCTGTACTAGTGAGGTGTGATGTTGGTACTAGTGAGGTGTGATGTTGGTACTAGTGAGGTGTGGTGTCTGTACTAGGGAGGTGTGATGTCTGTACTAGTGAGGTGTGGTGTCTGTACCTGTGAGGTGTGGTGTTGGTACTAGTGTGGTGTGATGTCTGTACCAGTGAGGTGTGGTGTCTGTACCGGTGAGGTGTGGTGTTGGTACTAGTGAGGTGTGGTGTTGGTACTAGTGAGGTGTGATGTCTGTATCGGTGAGGTGTGGTGTCTGTACTAGTGAGGTGTGGTGTTGGTACTAGTGAGGTGTGGTGTTGGTACTAGTGAGGTGTGGTGTTGGTACTAGTGAGGTGTGGTGTCTGTACCGGTGAGGTGTGATGTCTGTACCGGTGAGGTGTGGTGTTGGTACTAGTGAGGTGTGGTGTCTGTACTAGTGAGGTGTGATGTTAGTACTAGTGAGGTGTGGTGTCTGTACTAGTGAGGTGTGGTGTTGGTACTAGTGAGGTGTGGTGTCTGTACTAGTGAGGTGTGGTATCTGTACCGGTGAGGTGTGGTGTCTGTACTAGTGAGGTGTGGTGTCTGTACTAGTGAGGTGTGGTGTCTGTACTAGTGAGGTGTGGTGTCTGTACTAGTGAGGTGTGGTGTCTGTACTAGTGAGGTGTGGTGTCTGTACTAGTGAGGTGTGATGCCTGTACTAGTGAGGTGTGGTGTCTGTACTAGTGAGGTGTGGTGTTGGTACTAGTGAGGTGTGGTGTTGGTACTAGTGAGGTGTGGTGTCTGTACCGGTGAGGTGTGGTGTTGGTACTAGTGAGGTGTGGTGTCTGTACTAGTGAGGTGTGGTGTCTGTACCTGTGAGGTGTGGTGTTGGTACTAGTGTGGTGTGATGTCTGTACCAGTGAGGTGTGGTGTCTGTACCGGTGAGGTGTGGTGTTGGTACTAGTGAGGTGTGATGTCTGTATCGGTGAGGTGTGGTGTCTGTACTAGTGAGGTGTGGTGTCTGTACTAGTGAGGTGTGGTGTCTGTACTAGTGAGGTGTGGTGTTGGTACTAGTGAGGTGTGGTGTTGGTACTAGTGAGGTGTGGTGTCTGTACTAGTGAGGTGTGGTGTCTGTACCGGTGAGGTGTGGTGTCTGTACCAGTGAGGTGTGATGTTGGTACTAGTGAGGTGTGATGTTGGTACTAGTGAGGTGTGGTGTCTGTACTAGGGAGGTGTGGTGTCTGTACTAGTGAGGTGTGGTGTCTGTACTAGTGAGGTGTGGTGTCTGTACTAGTGAGGTGTGGTGTCTGTACTAGTGAGGTGTGGTGTTGGTACTAGTGAGGTTTGGTGTGTGTACCGGTGAGGTGTGGTGTCTGTACCGGTGAGGTGAGGTTTGGTGTCTGTACTAGTGAGGTGTGGTGTCTGTACCGGTGTGGTGTCTGTACCGGTGAGGTGTGGTGTCTGTACTAGTGAGGTGTGGTGTCTGTACTAGTGAGGTGTGGTGTCTGTACCAGTGAGGTGTGGTGTCTGTAATGGTGACGTGTGGTGTTGATACTAGTGAGGTGTGGTGTCTGTACTAGTGAGGTGTGGTGTCCGTACTAGTGAGGTGTGGTGTCTGTACCGTTGAGGTGTGGTGTTGGTACCAGTGAGGTGTGGTGTCTGTACCGGTGTGGTGTCTGTACCGGTGAGGTGTGATGTCTGTACCGGTGAGGTGTGGTGTTGGTACTAGTGAGGTGTGGTGTCTGTACTAGTGAGGTGTGATGTTGGTACTAGTGAGGTGTGATGTTGGTACTAGTGAGGTGTGGTGTCTGTACTAGGGAGGTGTGGTGTCTGTACTAGTGAGGTGTGGTGTCTGTACCTGTGAGGTGTGGTGTTGGTACTAGTGTGGTGTGATGTCTGTACCAGTGAGGTGTGGTGTCTGTACCGGTGAGGTGTGGTGTTGGTACTAGTGAGGTGTGGTGTTGGTACTAGTGAGGTGTGATGTCTGTATCGGTGAGGTGTGGTGTCTGTACTAGTGAGGTGTGGTGTTGGTACTAGTGAGGTGTGGTGTTGGTACTAGTGAGGTGTGGTGTTGGTACTTGTGAGGTGTGGTGTCTGTACCGGTGAGGTGTGATGTCTGTACCGGTGAGGTGTGGTGTTGGTACTAGTGAGGTGTGGTGTCTGTACTAGTGAGGTGTGATGTTGGTACTAGTGAGGTGTGGTGTCTGTACTAGTGAGGTGTGATGTTGGTACTAGTGAGGTGTGATGTTGGTACTAGTGAGGTGTGGTGTCTGTACTAGGGAGGTGTGGTGTCTGTACTAGTGAGGTGTGGTGTCTGTACTAGTGAGGTGTGGTGTTGGTACTAGTGAGGTGTGGTGTCTGTACTAGTGAGGTGTGGTGTCTGTACTAGTGAGGTGTGGTGTCTGTACTAGTGAGGTGTGGTGTCTGTACTAGTGAGGTGTGGTGTCTGTACCGGTGAGGTGTGGTGTCTGTACCGGTGAGGTGTGGTGTCTGTACCGGTGAGGTGTGGTGTCTGTACCGGTGAGGTGTGGTGTTGGTACTAGTGAGGTGTGGTGTTGGTACTAGTGAGGTGTGGTGTCTGTACCGGTGAGGTGTGGTGTCTGTACTAGTGAGGTGTGGTGTCTGTACTAGTGAGGTGTGGTGTCTGTACTAGTGAGGTGTGATGCCTGTACTAGTGAGGTGTGGTGTCTGTACTAGTGAGGTGTGGTGTTGGTACTAGTGAGGTGTGGTGTTGGTACTAGTGAGGTGTGGTGTCTGTACCGGTGAGGTGTGGTGTCTGTACTAGTGAGGTGTGGTGTCTGTACCAGTGAGGTGTGGTGTCTGTACCGGTGAGGTGTGGTGTTGGTACTAGTGAGGTGTGGTGTCTGTACCTGTGAGGTGTGGTGTCTGTACCTGTGAGGTGTGGTGTTGGTACTAGTGTGGTGTGATGTCTGTACCAGTGAGGTGTGGTGTCTGTACCGGTGAGGTGTGGTGTTGGTACTAGTGAGGTGTGATGTCTGTATCGGTGAGGTGTGGTGTCTGTACTAGTGAGGTGTGGTGTCTGTACTAGTGAGGTGTGGTGTTGGTACTAGTGAGGTGTGGTGTTGGTACTAGTGAGGTGTGGTGTTGGTACTAGTGAGGTGTGGTGTCTGTACCGGTGAGGTGTGGTGTCTGTACCTGTGAGGTGTGGTGTTGGTACTAGTTAGGTGTGGTGTCTGTACCGGTGAGGTGTGGTGTCTGTACTAGTGAGGTGTGGTGTCTGTACTAGTGAGGTGTGGTGTCTGTACCGGTGAGGTGTGGTGTCTGTACCAGTGAGGTGTGGTGTCTGTACCGGTGAGGTGTGATGTCTGTACCGGTGAGGTGTGGTGTTGGTACTAGTGAGGTGTGGTGTCTGTACTAGTGAGGTGTGATGTTGGTACTAGTGAGGTGTGGTGTCTGTACTAGTGAGGTGTGATGTTGGTACTAGTGAGGTGTGATGTTGGTACTAGTGAGGTGTGGTGTCTGTACTAGTGAGGTGTGATGTTGGTACTAGTGAGGTGTGATGTTGGTACTAGTGAGGTGTGGTGTCTGTACTAGGGAGGTGTGGTGTCTGTACTAGTGAGGTGTGGTGTCTGTACTAGTGAGGTGTGGTGTTGGTACTAGTGAGGTGTGGTGTCTGTACCGGTGAGGTGAGGTGTGGTGTCTGTACTAGTGAGGTGTGGTGTCTGTACCGGTGTGGTGTCTGTACCGGTGAGGTGTGGTGTCTGTACTAGTGAGGTGTGGTGTCTGTACTAGTGAGGTGTGGTGTCTGTACCAGTGAGGTGTGGTGTCTGTAACGGTGACGTGTGGTGTTGATACTAGTGAGGTGTGGTGTCTGTACTAGTGAGGTGTGGTGTCTGTACTAGTGAGGTGTGGTGTCTGTACCGGTGAGGTGTGGTGTTGGTACCAGTGAGGTGTGGTGTCTGTACCGGTGTGGTGTCTGTACCGGTGAGGTGTGGTGTCTGTGCCGGTTAGGTGTGGTGTGTGTACCGGTGAGGTGTGGTGTCTGTACCGGTGAGGTGTGGTGTTGGTACTAGTGAGGTGTGGTGTCTGTACCGGTGAGGTGTGGTGTCTGTACCGGTGAGGTGTGGTGTCTGTACCAGTGAGGTGTGGTGTCTGTACCGGTGAGGTGTGGTGTTGGTACTAGTGAGGTGTGGTGTCTGTACCAGTGAGGTGTGGTGTTGGTACTAGTGAGGTGTGGTGTCGGCGGATATACAGCGGTGTGCGCGGTGAGAATGCAGCCGTACCTGCTTGATGAAGAAATCCCCATGCACCCAAGACACCAATCCGAAGTTGGTGAACTTAAATATGTGCTCCATTACCCACATTATGTGCCTAATCGTCTGCAAGCACCCATACACGCACACACACACACAGACAAAGGAAAATTTAGTTTAATCTGAGCAAGCTCAAAAATTATTTGCACATAAAAAAAATGAAATCTGTCTTTAACAAGAGGAACTTCATGCCAAAACCATGCCCCCCCCCCACCACCACCACCATCGTTATGTTTACACTACACAGCAATCTTATTTACGTAAGATGTTTGTTTGCATGCTTGCAAAATGTGTCACACACACAACCAGCAGACTCGGGGATGTTTGGTCACTGCACACATTTTTGTTAAGATTTATTTTATTTATTTGGAGGATGGGATGCAAGTGCGGTTTTTTTTCCAATGTTCACCAACTGCTAGGAAAAAAAACAACGATCTAGCCTCTCAAAGGGCATCAACTACCCTCCCCATCCCTTCCCAGATGGCTGGCCGCTGTAAAGAACAGGCCAACTAAAATCTGGAGAGGCTCTCTATGAGCTGCTGCTTCTAGTCAACGCCCTTCCGCCAACTCAGTGGCGTGAGCAAGCAACAGCAGCGGCTGCACCTCCACCATAACTGCTTTCTGAAAGAGAGTCGAGTGCCCTGATCACAGCGCCACTAATCCCTCCTTGTAATAATAATAATAACGTTGGACCTGTAACGCCCCACCACCGCACACACCGTTCGCTCGCACGCTCTCGTGGAGAGAGGACGACTCGGAGGCGCGAGGAGGAGCCACGCACGAGCGGCGAGGCAGCCGCGAGCCGAGCCGATCCCCTCTACATATTAAGGTGTCAATGGCCAATTAGTGAGTTTTTACATGTGGAAGGATACCGGAGCTCCTGGAGAGAACCCACGGGGGCGAGTGGGGGAAACGCTCTGTTCCGTGCAGACGGAACAAGGTGGGACTCCACATTTTTATGCTGCCCCGCCTTCTCCCGGCGAATCGGGGCATGGCGTCTCCTCGACGTCCCCGGAGGAAAAGGGAGTTCGACAACGTCTGCATGGCGATCCGCCGCGACCCTCGCTGCCTCCGCGCCGCCGGATTACAGGCAGCCAGCCGCGTAGGTAGGCACCGCCGCGCCCGGCTACGCGAAGATGCCTCGGAGCGGGGGGCTTCTTGCCGAGAGTTTCGCGGACGTCGCTCAAACGCGCGAGCCGCGAGTTTACTTACGGTCCCTTTGTCTTGCAGGCACATCATGAGGGTGCAGATGTCGCCCGTCGACTGGTGGTTGACCATGACGAGCGCCTGGTCCTCGGCTATGGCAGCCACGTCCGCGCCCCACTCCACCACTGCCGCGCACACAAAGACACAGATTCCCCACCCGTGTCGCTTTTAACACACCGTTGGGGCAAGCACTGTTAAGTGAGCACCGATGAAGACCGGCATGGCACACAAGGAGCTGGGTGACCAGCACCACGCCCGGCCGCCTTTGTCTCCCCCAGTGCTGACTTTACACATCGCACGAGGTAGTCATTTGAGACTGAGTTGACACTATGGGAGGCCCAGGCCCGGTTCAAATATTCGCACATTGTTATATTCGTCACTGTGATGAACGGGAATTGAACTCGAGTCAGCGGGTGAATAGCAAAGTGCACTAACCACTGCACTACTGCTCCCCACAGAAATGCAGCCACGCACGCGTGCACCGTTGGTCAATACAGGCAGTAGCAGCAACAGGTTCAGAGGTTAGGCTTCAACACGACAAAATCAAGGTAGTTGTGGAGAACTTATGTCATAAAATAAATAAGCAGACAATACGCCCACATCATATATCAATCAGACAGCCTTTTAGAACCCATATTTAAACAGAGAGGGTCGTTGCCTATAAACATGTGACAGTTCACCCGCCTAGGCTCAAGTCAGCCTGACTGCTGATGAGACACTCTTTGTTGAAACTGGTCCAGAGATTGCTTGTATAGAACAAATGCTGCTGAAATTATACATTGCCAGAAAGGCAGTGACTGTGGCTGATGGGATTTGTAAAAAAGTACCAACTAAAAAAAGACATGTTCTCAATCCCCTTTTCACCAGTTGAGTCGATATTATCTACCGTTTTCCCCACACACCTTCCACACGACCAAAACATTACAATGGTATCGGCCTCAATATCACCTCTAAATGGTTTTACAGACAATTTACCATTCAGGCGTTCGGCTTCATGCTAGACTTGAACCGCGCTCTTCATCGCTACAATTTATAGAGATGCCACGGTTTATATTAACACAGCCTATAGACCATAGCCTTTCCACACCTCCGATTAGCACGGTTGGCTACGGACGGTGCGAAAGAAATTCAACATACATACACTTAGCGCTGCACAATAGTGAGTGCTTTTCATCTACGTTCTACCTTCTCAATAAGTCCCCAGTGCTGTGTTTGCACTGCACTGAGCACACAGACAAATGTTGGCAGTTATTAATGGCTCATCTTAGACCATCAGGATGCTCCTGTGGTGTTAACGGTCAGCACACTGGAATTGCAATCCAGAGGTCACCGGTTCAATTTCCCGGCAGGGGCAGCTGAACAAAAATTGTTCAAAGTTTCTTAGTTCCATCGCCACATTTTGTCCAACGGGCAGTATAAATGATCAGCAGGCCGCATGTGATGGGGTAAAGTGTGGGGAACCACCCACCTCTCCCAAAACGTCGACCCAGCGAGAAAAAATAGGCCAAATTACCCTGAAGTTGAGACTCTTCTACAGGCAGCGGCGCAAGCAAAAATATTGCAGGGCTGCACCACCTAGCTACCTAAAGAAAAACATAATCTCATCACTGCAATTGAGAGCTTGCTTCATCTTGTGACAGCCTCCAAGGATCTGAACCCAAACCCTCACTGGTGCTGGCTCAGTCCCCTACTATCCCTGTGACAGACTTCAGTCCCCTACTAGCCATGTGACACAGACTTCAGTCCCCTAGTAGCCGTGTGACACAGAAAAAATACTGATTTTTTAGTATTTTCCCACCAGACAGGCAGCAGATTTATTTTCTCGAGGGAGCACAAAACAGTCGACTTCTATAGCCCAGAGGTTAAACATCAGTTTATATATCACGAGAAAAATAAACATTTAAATTATTCTTCCGCTCTCGCTGTCATTCAATAGGTATACGGACCACTGCTGTGAATGTGGTTCTGCGAAAGTCTAATTTAGTTTCGATATTTTTACGAAATTAAAATAGAAGGCATAACCTCGTCTGTATTGATGGTCTGCACCTCATACGATTGCCTCTTTTTATATTCCATTACATGAATGAAACACGTTTCAGAGAAGCTAACGTAAAATCACACACTTCTCCACGTGTGACTCGACAACAGGCCCATGGCAGTTGCATTTAAACACCCAAAACACACACCACTTATATTGACACATTAAACAAAAGGCTGCTCCAACAACTTGTTTTTTCTCTCTTCAGAAACAACAAGACAGAGTACCGAAAACATTTTAAATTTGATGTGCATTCGTCATCCCTTTTTTGACGAAACAACCAAAAGGACGGCATTGCTTGATGTCAAAATAATATCAGCATTGTCGCTGCTCACATTTTATCACTGCTAAAATATATGTATATTCTTGGTTCTTTCGGTAAAGTCACGTAGAAGGGAGACAATAAAATAAAAAAAAATGTAAAACAATAAAATTCTCACGGCGTTTCGACTGCAACACAAGCAATCATCATCAGGTGTGAAAACCACAGCAAGAAAAATTTGAAAAAAGTGCCGTGTTTTTTTTACGTTAGCACCACTAAAGTGGCGGGTTTTTTTTAACGTTAGCACCACTACAGTCTCAGACTAGGTGCCCACAAATTGGCTCCCCCCCCCCCCAGGCAATCGAAAATAGAAACGGACCGATACTGATGGCCATGATGAAGCATAGGCCCACCAGACTCAATGGCACTTTCTCTACCACGCATGCTCCGGTGAAAAGGCAGGTACAGTATTTATAAACATCGGACTCTTCCGCCAAATAAGGCAGGGTCAAGGACTTTCCTTTCCCCACGTGGCCATGCAGAATAAAAATATGTATTTATATTGGAGAAATCCGATGAGCTATGAAGCTCTTTATACGCCCCATCACCGGTTCTACAAAGCGAGCATGAAACTGTCGCGCGTGTGACTCGTGTGCACAGACGAGACGGTGTCTCTGCTGGGCGGTCGTCCTGGTACGTACGAATGTTGAACTTCTTCCGCACTGTACATAGACAACCGTGCTAATCGGAGGTGCGGTTATGGCATTTCACCCGTCTCGTGTATCACATTTCTTTTCCCAAAACTGAACTTTTCCTTAAAAATCTTCTTTTCTCACCTGACATTTCTCAAGCTTTGGGAAATAGGTAAGAATTGTCCTCAACAGATACTTAATCCTTCCCACTCACATCTTTATACAGGGACTCTTCTACTTACAAGCATTCGACTTACAAACTTTCAGAGATACGAACAAACCTGTCCGTATGTTCAGTTGCCTGTTCGGACCGAGATTCGTAAGTTCAACCGCCGCGCAATAGATGGCAGTGGTGGCATTTACATCTGCAGAACATAAAGAACCAGTGGCATCTACATCTACAGAACGTGAAGAACCAGTGGCATCTACATTTGCAGAATGTGAAGAACCAATGGCATCTACATATGCAGAACGTGAGGAACCAGTGGAAACTACATCTACAGAACGTGAGGAAGCAGTGGCATCTACATCTGTAGAACGTGAAGAACCAGTGACATCTACATCTGCAGAACATGAAGAACCAGTGGAATCTACATCTGCAGAAGATGAGGAAGCAGTGACATCTACATCTGCAGAACGTGAAGAACCAGTGGCATCTACATCTGCAGAACGTGAAGAACCAGTGGCATCTACATCTGCAGAACGTGAAGAACCAGTGGCATCTACATCTGCAGAAAGTGAAGAACCAGTGGCATCTACATCTGCAGAGCGTGAAGAACCAGCAGCATCTACATCTGCAGAACGTGAAGAGCCAGTGGCATCTACATCTGTAGAACGTGAAGAACCAGGTGGCATCTACATCTGCAGAACGTGAAGAACCAGTGGCATCTACATCAGCAGGACATGAAGAACCAGTGCCATCTACATCTGCAGAAAGTGAAGAACCAGTGGCATCTACATCTGCAGAACGTGAAGAACCAGTGGCATCTACATCTGTAGAGAGTGAAGAACCAGTGACATCTACATCTGTAGAACGTGAGGAACCAGTGGCATCTACATCTGCAGAACACGAAGAACCACTGGCATCTACATCTGCAGAACGTGAGGAACCAGTGGCATCTACATCTAAAGAACATGAGGAACCAATGGCATCTACACCTGCAGAACATGAGGAACCAATGGCATCTACATCTGCAGAACGTGAAGAACCAGTGGCATCTACATCTACAGAACATGAGGAACCAATGGCATCTACATCTGCAGAATGAGAAGACACCAGTGGCATCTACATCTACAGAACATGAGGAACCAATGGCATCTACATCTGCAGAACGTGAAGAACCAGTGGCATCTACATCTACAGAACATGAGGAACCAATGGCATCTACATCTGCAGAATGAGAAGACACCAGTGGCATCTATATCTGCAGAACGTGAAGAACCAGTGCCATCTATATCTGCAGAATGAGAAGACACCAGTGGCATCTACATCTGCAGAACGAGAAGAACCAGCGGCATCTACATCCGCAGAACATGAAGAACCAGTGGCATCTACATCTGCAGAACGTGAAGAACCAGTGGCATCTACATCAGCAGGACATGAAGAACCAGTGGCATCTACATCTGCAGAACGTGAAGAACCAGTGGTATCTATATCTGCAGAACGTGAGGAACCAGTGGAATCTACATCTGCAGAACGTGAAGAACCAGTGGCATCTACATCAGCAGGGCGTGAAGAACCAGTGGCATCTACATCTGCAGAACGTGAAGAACCAGTGGTATCTACATCTGCAGAACGTGAGGAACCAGTGGAATCTACATCTGCAGAACGTGAGGAACCAGTGGCATCTACATCTACAGAACATGAGGAACCAATGGCATCTACATCTGCAGAATGAGAAGACACCAGTGGCATCTACATCTGCAGTACATGAAGAACTAGTGGCATCTACATCTGCAGAAGATTATACACATTTTTTAAGCCATTCCCATGTTTAGTGTACACGCCATACAACATGTTTGGAATCGACAGGAGTAAAGTTGGACTTACGAACAAATCCAGTGGCGAACAGACCTCTGCAACATAACTCGTTCATAAGTAGAGGAGTCCCTGTATCAGTATTTTTTTCTACCTCCGTGACTTCACCGAAAGAACCAAAGATTAAATTATTTATGTACTCCAAATTGCATTGTTTTGTCATATTCTGGAGTAGATTTTCAATTGCATTAATTCATTTGCATTGTCAACATTAGGCACATTTCTAAATTGCTTAATGTTTCTTAAAATTCCCCTAAAACTAAAAGGAACGGAAAATATTTAATGCTTTTTGAGATATTACTCATTTATAAGCTTTTTGTCTACTTCAACCATTACCCTCTGCCCATCCAGAAGTAAGCAGAGGGCAGTAACCAGGAGGAATAAAGGAATGGGCTCAAATAATTATGATGATGTGCTGTACACACTCGACCTGCCACCATGTAACCCAAGCAAATATCCCCTTATATTTATCGCTACATGTATTCAATCCGGAGGTTCCGAAATCCTCGCTTCTTGGGTCGTAAAGAGAGACACCACGTGATGCTGACAGAGTCAATGCAATTGGTATGCCTGGCAATGGGATTGGAGCTGGTTGCCTGGACTTAGATACTGATGTGCCAGAAACTGATGTCTAATTTCCTTTGCCAGCAGACAGAGTTTCAGCGCAGCACAGGAGCTATCAATGCACCTGTGGCTGTTTTAAGGATCATATTTTTGATCCAGTTGGGAACAGTGCACAGACGTCCTATCGCTCACCGAGCTTCCTCTTTAAAATGTTATCATTTCACATTGTTCCCAAATATTTGACACAAATAGCAACACAACGGGGGAAAAAAAGGGGTGCAAAGTTGTACACATGTGCAAGTCGCCATGGCAATTTGTGGCCGGTAACGTTCCCAGTGGCAGCACATGAATTGTTAATCACGAAGTCCACAAATACATCCTGGCAGATACATCTCTGCCAACTGTGTCACCCAGTTAATCGAATGAGAGTTGGCACGGCAGTCAGAAAATTAAGCGTAATAGAAAGGGATATGATGTTGGTTGAAGGATTGGAAAGATGATACACAGGGCTTTGTACTTTTCACTTGTTAGGTTTTTTATTAAATAATTATTTATCCTTCTCGCCGGTCACTGCCGCTCTCAGCTCGGGATGTGTAACGTCCTAATTTTGGACGATCTGGTGTGCAAAGCCCTCAACTACTACAACCCCCAAAGTGCAGCAGCACTCTATAAATCTGAGTGGCCAGCCCAAGAAAACCATACAAAATAAAATGAGAAAAGTGGTTCCACCCCCACCAGGGGGTCAAACCGTAATTGCTCAAGTTGAACACGTAACAGGAGTAGTAAGGCTGTCGCAACTAAAATCATCCACGAGAAGCTTTTTCTGGTTACATGGCATAAATATAAATGTGTTGCTAAACCCGCCACCACCTGACACTGCCAATTAATAAGGTTTATCACGTCAACAGCGTATTCACAGCCGTCACATTTGGACGCTGTAACCCACTCATCCTCGCGAGGGCGACTAAACATATGCATGTACGCTGAAGTTATTTCGCACCGTACGTAGCCAACGGGGGGGGGGGGGGGGGGATAACAAACTACAAACTAAACGCGACAACAAGCAGCTCTCAAGAAATTAGTTTTTTTTCATTTGTGAATGCGACAAGGATGATCGTCGACAATTGTGGTGGCGTCAGCGATGAAGTGGCTTCGTAGGCCTCGGTTATTACAGCCTCTAAATGTGTCAACTGTGAATACGCAATCAAGAAGCAGATTTCGCATTCAACCAAAATGACCGGAAAGAAAACTTCAATTGTTTCGCGGATTCAAAGGCAACAATCGCCGACATGCAGTGGTCGCTGTGTACGGCCACGTTTGGATGGATGCCCGCAGAGATAAAGTGTCCAGTCGAGGTTTATTTTGCTTTTTTTTATAATCTATGAATAAATTGTCACGCAGTAAAAAATACAGTAAAACCTTGGATTGCGAGTAACTTGGTCTGCGAGTGTTTTGCAAGACGAGCAATTTTTTTTTAATAAATATTAATTTGATAAACAAGCGAGGGTCTTAGCAATACGAGTAGTACGTATACGCTTTGTCTGCCGAGCATCACGTGATCACAACTGATACACGAGTGCTTTGATATACGAGTGCTTTGGATTACCAACACGTTTCCGGAACGAATTATGCTCGCAATCCAAGGTTTTACTGTATATTGAATTAAGATGCCCAGTCTGGCTTATCAGACAATTCTATTCTGTGGGTTGGTTGGTTGTGGTCCAACATTGACAGTTTCGATTTAAAGCTTTCGTGACTGCAAGGATTCATCTTCTTTGGTTCTTTCGGTAAAGTCACGTAGAATGAGAATAAAATAATAAAATAACACAATAAAATTCTCACGACGTTTCGGCCACAACGCAAGCGGCCGTCTTCAGGTGAAAGGAACAGACCTGTCGGGACGACAGAGCTTCAATGGTTGAATTTTATTGTGTTATTTTATTATTTTATTCTCATTCTACGCGACTTCACCGAAAGAACCAAAGAAGATGAAACATTGACAGTCTCATGCCATCCCAAAGAATGACTCCGAGCAGGCACGAGCAGCAGCTCGTCCAGCTGACCGACCCACCCACCTGTGTATCCAGCCACCCAGCCCCAGGAGGCCACTATGGCGAGGAGCCACTTGAACATGACGCCCTCGAGCTCCCAGAAGAGACGCGGGCGGCACAGTCGCAGCGGCAGCAGCGCCAGCAGGTACAGCAGGTAGGATGGGATGGCCACCAGGTTGTTGATCACCATGACGCCAAAGCGCAGGCACATCTTCATCAGCAGCCACGTGTCGCTCAGCAGTGCCATCCCCTGCGGAGGCAAGGACGGCGCTGTCGTGATCGTGTCGAGCGAGGGGGACATTTCGGAGGAGAGGCAGAGCAATGTTACAGCGTCACGTCAGTTGTCCGCTGTCAGCCACCTCGATGTGGAACTCTATCCCTTTGCACATCCGCAACATCGAATGACTTTCAATAAACATCTAAAGGCCTCCTCTATCTGTCTGGGTCAGGGCTTTCGAGCAGTCCTGAGGCTTGGCTCCACACCTCTGAGTCATTGACTTGCCTGAAAAATCTGGCGTGTCATATCATTATTATTGACTGGCCGCTGTGCTTTAGGGTTCAGTGTCCAATGTGTAGATAAAGTATCGTACTATTCCCATTGACAAAAACAAAATAAACACAATCACGATCAACAAGTGGCATCACCCAATCCTTATTATTTCACTTTTACTTAAACGCAGGTGCACGATGATTTGATGAATTGTGAAGCTTCATGTAACTTAAACGATTACCTCTTGACTTAAAGCTTTCGTGACTGCAGGAATTCATGTTCTTTGGGTCTTTCAGTAAAGCCACGTAGATAGGTTCAAATTAATAAAAAATATATAAAATAAAATAAACCTATGACGGTCCGATCACAACACAAGCGATCCTCCTGATGACGATAACTTGTGTTGTGATCGAAACGTTGTAGTTCTTTTTGTTTATTGATATTTATTACTTTAATTAATTTGAACCTATCTACGTGACTTTATCGAAAGACCCAAAGAATATTTAAACAATTACTGTAAAATGTTCACCAACTGCAAAATACTATAATGAATTGCTGCATGCACGACTTTATGGGTGTATTGTTACGATGCTTCAACACATGCCTACTAAGATGTGAAACAGACAGGTGCTGCCTTTTGCTAACAGCCTGCTGTTGAAAACCTGCGAAAACGGCTTTGGAAAGCTCACAACTTGCATAGATTCACCCTGTAAAGTAAATTCATCAACCAGTGTGCAGAATATTCATTTTACAAGTACTTGAAAAGTCAACTCCCCAATGTATGAATGGAAAGCCACAATTTAACAAATACTGTACTACACAAATAACTCTCCATACTCAGATAACTTATATATGTTTACTATCAATGTATAAAATATAATGTCCACGTAGGCATGCTTGATGTGTTTCCTATTGCATAAAATGAGCCAGTTTAACAATGGAGTGCTCCCTGAAACATTAGCACGGTTGGCTATGTACGGTGCGAAAGAAGTTAAACATACAAAACAAAATAAAGATCCCCCATATAGCCTAAACAGACTGTTGGGCCAAGTGCTGTTAGTGAACACCTATGAAGGCGAGCATGGCACACGAGGGGGTGAGTGGCCAACACCACGCCCGACCGCCTTTGTCTCCCTACTGGCGATGTTTACACACCGCACCGGGTACTAATTTGAGGCTGAGTCAACCTAGGGGAGGCCCGGGACCGGTTCAGATAATCGTCACTGGTGTTGGCCGTGAGCGGGATTCGAACTCTGTTCGCTGGTTTCGCAGCGCAGGGCGCTAACCGCTACACCACCGCCCCCCATACAAAGACACAAAAAATGCATACATACGTCCAGGACGCATTCAGCTTCTCGACTATTCAAAATACGGACCAGTCTTGCGAGCTTTCCACAGCCGTTTTCGCAGGTTTTCAACAGCAGACTTACATTGCCAAAAAAAAAATCGGCAGAAACACACACGTTTGGGCACGAATGTAGATGAAGGTGATTTCTCCGCTCACTCGCAGACGCGAAAAGATTCCGAAACTCTCTTCGATGAGCAATTCAAAACATGGGCGATGCCAAGCAGGGGGTGGGGTGGGGGAGGAATGATTCCCGTCATTTTTCCGCGCAGTTGAATTGTAAGAAGCAGGTGGGGGCTTGCGCAGCATTGGCCAGGGCGGTGCTCGGGAGGGAAATAACCACGTGGGGGCTTTTAGAGTTTGGCGTTTCCCTGAAGGCTGCCTCGTGGTGGTGGTGGTGATGCCGAGCGACACGCGGTGGTTACTACGGCGCACCATTCATTACCAGCCGACGTGAGCTTGACCGTCCTTCAACGAACTAGTCAACGCAGGTTACGATTGGTTTAATAAAGACTACTTTGTCACTGACGTTAGCCAGAGCCGGGAGTAAGACTCAGGTTGTCAGATTAATTAATGGTACATTGTTGCTCAACACTCGTTCCACTGTTTCCCCTTCTGCCGATCAGCATAAGATATTCCACGGAAACTTTCCAGACGCCCTGTATGTACCATTCAGAAAGCCTCGCTTTGTTCTATTGGAACACAGACATCGCAATGAAGCGGAAAACATTGTTCAACCAAGCTCAGAAAAATACCAGGGCCGGGTATGGATGCTCATGGCTGCTCTTGCGTACGCGTACAATACAAACCTTTATCACTGTGCGCGCTGTGCAATGTATGATGAACGCAAGGACAGGAAGTGACTGGCAAACTTCACTTCCTTCTGCTAAACTGGCACGGTTATTGTTGAGACATACCCCCCAAATTTCTTTGCCTCCTCGCACATCACAATGTACGCAAAAAAAGGCACACACGAGTACAAAAAGACAAAGGTACGGATCCCCATATAGCCTTCAACAGACTGTTGGGGGAAGTGGTGTTATCTAGCGGATCTTAAAGCCGATGCAGCACATGATTCCATTGCGTGGCCAACAGCACACCCGGCTGGCTGCCTTTATATGCCCAATTCTGACGTTTCCAATTCACACTGGGTACTGATTTAAGGCTAATTTAAGGCTGAGTCAAACTTAGGGAGGCACAGTAAGACTTCCATTACCGCTGCTTTTAGACGTGGCCAGGAATCGTACCTAAGGCCACGTGAAGTGTTGATGGCCTGCTTGCAGAAGATCACGGGACAGACCCAGGTGCCATGGGTATCACGGTACATGAACTATTACACTATTACACCAACACTCCTCAAATACAAAAGATACACGCACGCGTGAAAGAGCTGATTGTAATCGTTATCCTTAAGTTGACCGTTTGTTAAGGAGTGATACATTTTCGAGGAAAAGTAAATGCCCAAGTGTATTTCCCCTGGTCACACTTGTGCATTAAGCAAATGTACATTACATGCACTGGGGGTGGAATGGGTCGAGTATCTAATTTCCAAAAAATACTTTGCCAAAATAAAGAGCAGCTATAGAAGCAGATCTCAGTGTTTATAATTTGAGATTTTAAAAAATGCATGTTTTCCAACCGCGGGTTATATTTAGATAAATTTAACTCATTCTCACATTCTACTTAAGAGAAGGGGCAGCAGGATGAATCGTCGCAGCACAAACGGTTTGAGGATGTCGCGCGACCCCAATCCTCGGGTCACTGTACCAAATTTGCAAAGCAAATTACGGGAAGCAAAGACACCCCCAACAATAAAGGGACAGGGCTGTGCCGTCCCGAATCTCTCAGCGTTGGCCTGCTGCTGCCTCTTGACCAGTTGAGCGCACACAGTGTGCGATGCATACGCAGGGAGAGAAATGACCGAGGTGGATATTTCCTTCAGCTGAACCGGTACGATTATTTGCAGTGGACAAGTATAAAACTTCCTGACAAGGGAGGAACTCAAACCCAAAATTAATTGTTTTCATATTCCCTCGTGTGTATGCGGGCTGAACATCAAACCCACTGTAGGGCCTTTCAAGTGAGTATTTAATTCAAAGTTCTTTACTTAAACAAGGAAGAAAAATCATGCATACGCATGGTTTCTGCGACACCCTTTCCAATGTATGTATGCCCTCGAACGTAATAAATCAGGGGAACACGACATCATGGTTCAGGTCGCGCAATGACATGACATCACGTGTCGTATTGTTTTTGTTTTTGTTCAGGTTGCTTTGCTCCACTGCCGCTTTGGAGTAATGCAACCTGAACCTGTTGGAACTCCAACCGCAATGATCGGTGCTTTCCATGTCCCGACAAAAAAAAACATTCTTACATCTCTAGTGCCCATCATGTCTGGTGTGGTTCTCTGCCATCCATGCTTTGGCTGTCGCCGAATAAAGGCGCGTCATAAATATCACATCGGTTGACTGACGTCATCAATATCACATCGCTTGACTGACGTCATCAATATCACAGCGATTGACTGACGTCATCAATATCACAGCGATTGACTGACGTCATCAATATCACATCGATTGACTGACGTCATCAATATCACAGCGATTGACTGATGTCATCAATATCACAGCGATTCAGTGACGTCATCAATATCACATTGCTTGACTGACGTCATCAATATCACAGCGATTGACTGACGTCATCAATATCACAGCGATTGACTGACGTCATCAATATCACATCGATTGACTGACGTCATCAATATCACAGCGATTGACTGACGTCATCAATATCGCAGCGATTCAGTGACGTCATCAATATCACATTGCTTGACTGACGTCATCAATATCACAGCGATTGACTGACGTCATCAATATCACAGCGATTGACTGACGTCATCAATATCACAGCGATTGACTGACGTCATCTATATCACAGCGATTGACTGACGTCATCAATATCACAGCAATTAACTGACGTCATCGCCTGAAGCTGGCAATGTGGGTCGCTTTGGCGCTTGGTTTTGTTTTACCACCAAGCTTTGGAAGCCCCTTTCATAAATTTGCACGGTTTCCCTAAGGGTAAGTATCCCCCGTTGGACTATTACAACCACAGAACATGTTGTAAGTCTGGGTGGGATGAAAGAATCAATGATTGAGTTGTGCCGGAATCGGAGGCATTTGCCATGACCACTTCTCAAGCTTGACGCGGCATATAACCACGCGCCTCATTCCACATCACCGCCATCAAGAGCGTGCCATTATCGTTATTGCTTGAGGAAATACGTTTATCTACAGTCAAAGGTCTTCGAGCACCACCTCGTCAAGAATGGCAACAGGCAGCCTACCTGCGTGGCGGTTGATGCGTCGATAAGAAAGCGCGTTCTTTAAAATGTCTAATCATTATCAATGACCAATTCTTCACGCTGTTGCAACGAGCGCGCGTATTCTTTGACGCAGTTCCGTCATGTAGGATCTGACGTCGCAGACCGATGCAGGCTGGCTCAGAACAGCGCTCTTGGAACGGACGTGATTGCGCAATGATAAGCAAGCAGCTGCAGTCCGAGCAGTGGGATGGGGAGGAATCTGAACCGGTGCTAAAGGCCCCCACGGTGGCACAGCCTGGCAACCGGTGTGCTATTTTTATACTGCGGGTTGCTCAGCGCACCGAAGGAGTGGCATCTCGAGGGTGACACAGGAGACGAGTGCGGGATACAGCAGCCGTATTTGCCAACGTGATTCGTGACTTTGATCCTTACTCGCCGTGTATCGATTGTTCAATGTTAAGGTGCCGTTTTATTGAGGGGCCACTCTGCTGCGTGGCGTTACCTTGGGGCGTGGTCTGGGACTGTCTTGTTGTTTTTGCTGCCTTGCGCAAGTTTGATGAATCAGACGTATACATTTATTTTAACTTATTTTTAGTGACTTGCTTACCATTTTTTTTCTATTTTGCTCTCCGACCGTGCGGTTTTTTTGCGTATTGTTTGCTGCTGTAACTCGCTGACCCCGTGCCCATACTGGGACGTCTGTGAAAAAGAGCTTCATAGCTCATCGGATTACTCCTCCTGAGGTTTAAATAAAGATTCTGATGCTGGTGGCAGACCACACTATGCCCTGTAGGTTGGGACTCAAAACGCAAACAAAAATGAGAGGAAGTATGAGGTTACAGGGCATGCCAACCAATTGTTTTAATACCAATTGCAATATATTCTTGGTTCTTTCGGTAAAGTCACGTAGAAGGGAACCAATAAAATTATAAATATATAAAACAATAAAATTCTCACGACGTTTCGACTGCAACACAAGCAATCATCATCAGATGTGAAAACCACAACAAGAAAATTTGACAAAAAGTGGCGTTTTTTAACGTTAGCACCACGGAGAGCGATTTGGCAGTTTGTCCAGATGGACGAGTCCATCACTCACCCACTCACTCACTCACCCGCTCACTCACTCACCCACCCACTCACTCACCCACCCACCCGTCACAGCCTCGCACACACTCACACACACACAGTGTGTCACAGCCTCGCACACTCTCAGCAACCATCTTCACTACAACAACCTGCACCACACACAGCAACCATCTTCACTACAACAAGCTACACCACACAGAGCAACCATCTTCACTACAACAACCTGCACCACACAGAGCAACCATCTTCACTACAACAAGCTACACCACACAGAGCAACCATCTTCACTACAACAACCTGCACCACACAGAGCAACCATCTTCACTACAACAAGCTGCAGCACACAGAGCAACCATCTTCACTACAACAACCTGCAGCACACACAGCAACCATTTTCAAGGCACTCCTGGAGAGACGATATCGCGACAAGTCAGAAGGAAGGCCCTCAGGCCGCAGGGCCTCAAGCAGCAGGCCTCAAGCCTCAGACCGCAGGCCTCAAGCCTCAGGCCTCAAGCCTCAGGCCGCAGGCCTCAAGCCTCAGGCCGCAGGCCTCAAGCAGCAGGGCCTCAAGCCTCAGGCCGCAGGCCTCAAGCCACAGGCCTCAAGCCTCAGGCCGCAGGCCTCAAGCAGCAAGCCTCAAGCAGCAGGGCCTCAAGCCTCAGGCCTCAAGCAGCAGGCCTCAAGCCTCAGGCCTCAAGCAGCAAGCCTCAAGCCTCAGGGCCTCAAGCAGCAGGCCTCAAGTCTCAGGGCCTCAAGCCGCAGGCCTCGGGCCTCAAGCCGCAGGCCTCGGGCCTCAAGCCGCAGGCCTCAAGCCTCAAACCTCAGGCCTCAAGCCTCAGGGCCTCAAGCCTCAAGCCGCGTGTAGCCCCGAACGAACTGCAGGGGCAAGTGCTGTGGTCAGCAGCAGCAGTAGCAGCGCCTATGAGTCACTAGAGGCACCTACAGTGCACCTCTCTCTCTGTGTGCCGTGTCACCCTCCAGTCACTAGAGGCACCTACAGTACAGAGTTAGTGGAGGCGTTATACCATAGATCACAGTGTATTAAAAAAGTGTAATTGACGAATTTTTTGGGTTAATTTGAAAAAAATGCAATGATTCACGGAGGGGGAGGCCGACATCTCGGCTCGGTGCGAGGCGGCCAAGGCGGCTGGCTTCGATGCCGTGGAAATTCCCGACCCTTACGGCTACTGGGGGCCAGCAGGCGGCCCAGAGGAGACGCCTCGACCGCCGCCGCCTGCCCTGCCCGTAGTGCTCATCAACAGCCCGCGAGATACGACGGCGGCACGGCGGCGTGCACTCGACGGGGCCCGCGCTGCTGCTGCTGCCGCTGCTGCTGCGCACGGACGGCGAGAACGCCGCCACGGGACTCCTCGCCAGCTCCACGGCCGAGAGGCCCGCGCAGCCCGCAAGATGGCCGCCTGAGGCGCGCGCGGCCAGCAGCGGCTGGCGGGGGCCGTTTGTGAGGGGGCCGAGGGAGCCGACGGAGGGGGCCAACGGAGCCGAGGGGGCCGACGGAGCCGGGGGGGCCGGGGGGGGGGCGACGGAGCCAGGGGGGGCCAACGGAGTCGGGAGGGGGGGGCCGACGGAGCCGGGGGGGGCCGACAGAGCTGGGGGAGGGCGACGGAGCTGGGGGGGGGGCCGACGGAGCCGGGGGGGGCGATGGAGCTGGGGGGGGGGCCGATGGAACCGGGGGGGGGGGCGACGGAGCTGGGGGGGGGGGGCGACAGAGCCAGGGGGGGGGGCGACGGAGGTGGGGGCGGAGACGACGGAGCCAGGGGTGGGCCGACGGAGCTGGGGGGGGCCAAAGAACCTCTGTCTTGGAGAAGTCAATGTCATGTGAGCCTACTGAATTATAACAGTGATCAGCCACGGCCGAGGTGTTGTCCTACCGTGTTTTAGGTCTGCTTTGTGTTCACGAATGCAGTCCGAGACATGTCGTTTGGTTTCTCCAATGTAACTACTACCAGAGGCAACTTAGTTCATTGAGCCACTCAGCCACCTCAGGGTACTGTATGTCCGGAATCACATCTTTTACAGACGGAACCAGATCACGGATTTTATGTAATGTGTTGAATCGGACCTGGATGTTGTGTTTATTCAAGATTTTGGAGATCTTTTTTGTGATCCCCGCAATATAGGGTAAAGTGATGGTTTTGAAAGGCTCCTCAAAAGGGTCCTTCTTCATGGTTGGAGTGATAGCTTTGCGGATTGTGTAGTCGGAGTAACCATTAGCCTTAAGAGCTTGGTGTACGTGCTTGAGTTCACTGGCTATGTGTTCCTGTTCGGATATGCATTGGGCTCTACGGTGCAGAGTCTTGATGAGGGAATTCTTCTGTGATGGATGGTGGTGGGAATCCGGTTTCAGTTAAGCATCCGTATGGGTAGCTTTCCTGTAGACAGTGGCTCATTGAACCATCAGGTCTCTTTTTTATTAGGACATCCAAAAAAGGTAGCTTTCCATCTTTTTCGACTTCCATGGTAAATCTGATGGCTGGGTGTATCGAATTGATGTGGTCGAGGAATTGGTCTAGAGCAGGCTGGCCATGTGGCCAGATGACAAACGTGTCATCCACGTACCTCTTCCATAAGGTTGGGCGCAGAGTGGCAGTCTGGATGGCGTCAGTCTCAAATTTCTCCATGAAAATGTTGGCTACAACCGGAGATAGGGGGGAGCCCATTGGGGTGCCATCAGTTTGTTTGCAGAAAGTTCCATTCCAAGTGAAGAATGTATTGGTTAGTTTGTTGACCACCCCTCCATACGTCCGATTAGCACGGTTGGCTATGTACGGAGAAAACTAAGCTCAAGATACATAGGTTGTGTTTTGCTTATCAGGATAATTTAGTTTTTTTCTTACACACATAAGAGTGGTATATGAAAGTGATCACCCCTTACGTTATATTCAATGGCTTTGTGCAATTGACGTAAAAGTGTTTTCATCGTAGAGATTTTTGGGTTGGATCGCGATCTAACCCAAAAATCTCTACGCTGAAAACACTTTTACGTCAAAACCGCCACTTTCAAATTTTCTTGCTGTGGTTTTCACACCTGATGATGACTGCTTGTGTTGCAGTCGAAACGTCTTGAGAATGTTATTGTTATATATATATTATTGTATTGTTTCCCTTCAACGTGACTTTAACCGAAAGAACCAAGAATATTAATCACTGCAGTCACGAAAGCTTTAAATCAAAATTTAACAGAGAGTACTGTGTGTAACAGTGGAAGCGGTGCTACCACAGGGCACTGCACAGTGCAGCCTGCCCTCAAGAGACTCTCTCTAGACGCAGACACATCAGGAGGATGCGTACGTGCTCATCGCACACTCGCGCATGGGGCACTGAAATGCACCTTGCTGACCCCTGCAATGAGAGAAGCTTTCAACACTGGCATTGCATTTGCGCTGATTTTCCATCGAAAGCTGCTACCATCAAACGCACATTTTTTTTCTCATATTAATCTAAAATCGTGACATCACCTTGAAACTGATGTCACTTTCATGGCATCAGGTCTACTTGCGTTTTTTCTGCCAAAAATGGCCAGTGCATGGCGTGAACTTATATTTCACATTGTATTGTATGTATGCTGAACTCCTTTCGCACCACATGTAGCCAACCGTGCTAAACGTCGGTGCGGCAAAAATATTAAATAAATTCCAAAACTGAGCTTAAAAGATTAGAAAATCTGATCACCATGAAAGCAAACCTCATCCTATACCACGTCCAGAATGGTATGAGTATTCTATCACATAAAAGGCACCATGCTGGTATATGATTCTTTACATCTCACCTGCTCGATAAGACAGGTTTCAATTTATCCTGCCTGGAGCTCTCCGCTAGTACTGTAACAGGTTTCAATTTACTGGACCCTGCTAGAAGCTAGTTTCAGTAGGATGTGAAAGCATCAAACAATACCTGCACCTGTCGTCCTAGGTTACATGATGCACTACGCACGCTGAAGTGCATAACTTAGTCCCTGTGGTCGTTCGTGCTACCACACAATAACTGATAACAGTCGGTGGCTTGCCGCACGACCATTTTTCACGATATGATGCGGGTATCAGGTTTTCAAGATATGATGATTTATCATGATGTTCGTTTACCCATTGTGAAAGATGATTAATTGGGTCTCTCCAAGAAACGTCTCGATGAGATTCCATCCCGCTGCTCGCAAGTGACAGAGCCAGACGGACCGAATGGCTCCCTCTCGTTTGCAATCTTTGTACATTATTGTGAATTTTATTTAAAAGTTTTATCGCATTGTTTGTTGTGCTTTGCTATACTGTAATTCCAGCGTGACGAGAAAGCTAGCTAACCGCAGTTCACTGCCATAGGCCTTCGAATCCATGCAAACTTTAGAATCTGTAACTCTTGCAACACACATGCTGTCAGTTACACAACACAACAATACATTAACAAGTAACAGAACTAAAGAAAAAGGGCATCTTCATATGATTCACGACAATTTGAACCACGCAATATCGTCGTATACTGGTTACCGTTGCTTCAATATTTCACGTTCCGACAACACGTTTCCCAAATAACAATAATTAAAGTTCACTATAATAGTTAAAGTATGTGCTTGAAAATACTTTTCTGATGAATTCATGATTTTCTGACAGAACGTGCAGTAAAGGCAATGCGGGTCGTAATGTCACAATGAGACTTAAGGCGGGCAGGCTCATGTTTAGTGAAATGCGGTTGAACAACTATGAAGTAATCTTGTATTCGACCCGTGCATTTGCGAAGTACACTCTGTTCTCATATAGCGTGGCGGTAATAGTGGTTACGTTCCTGAGGAATGCCGCGCTATGGAAAAGTCGCGTGAAATAA